CAGCCAGAACCTGACAACAGCAGTCAGCATGCAGTGGCACCTGCAATGCCTGACAAGGAGGTCAGCTCAGCCCAGCAAGGAGCCCAGAAACCAACACCTCTCCCTCAGGCCTCAGCCACCACCCTCATTGGGGTGTCAGGTGATGAGCGCTTTCGCATCACCTATGAAGCAAGGCAATTGCTTCACTCAGTGCATTCTCAGGATGAGATTGTTGGATCAGTGGGCAAGGGCTTGCTGGTTGTGCCTGGCCAGTGGGCCAGGCTCAGCAACATCTCAGAGAATGGCACTTGGCTGAAGACTGAGAGCTTCCAGGTTGGAGACAAGACTGTAGTCAGGAAGCAAGGAACCTCAGTTGGATCCTGGAGCCCTACAGGAAACTGAGGAAGAGTGACCCTGAGTTGATGTCCAAGCTTGAGGTGATGTCTCAGCCTGCCAGCAATGTGGACTCAGTGATCCTCACTTGGTCTATCCAAGCTCAGGCTGAGCAGTACCCATGCTCAATGTGGATGAGAGACTGCTTCAGCTCAGTGTTCACTGACTCAGCTGCTGAAGCCATGGCTTTGGCCAACCAGCTAAGCTGCCTTGTAGCTGAGAAATGCACTTCCAAGCTCCAGATCACTGACACAGACTTTTCCAAGCAGTTCAAGGCCTTAGTCAGGAGCAAGCTGACTGAGATGAGATCTGAGTGGCAGACTCAGATCAGAGATTCCCACTCAGTTTGGAAGGTTGGCCCAAAGGAGATTGTCACTGCAGTGGTTCATGCCCAGGAATTCCTCAGTGACAAGAATCTCAAAGACCAGTGGGTCCTAAGGGCTGCTGTCAGGAATGGGTTGTTGGTTTACAGGCCAAACCCTGAGACAGGAAAGCTGGAGGAGCTGCTGTCTCAGAAATGGGCCCAGGAGTTGCAGCTTCAGATGGGCACTAAGAGGTACAAGCCTGAGTACCTCAGTGACAGACTCAAATGGCTCAACAGTGAAGGTGTGCCCGTAGATGCTGACTGGAATTTGAGCGAGGTGGCTAAGAGCATCACAGACCTTCAGGTATGGGACTATTTTCACCCTGAAGATGAAGATGAGCAAGGAGAGCTTGAGATCACAGATGCCCTCAATGAGGATTTGGAGCTGGAGCTCCAAAACTCCTTGTCATTGAGGCTGAGTCCTGCATTGAGGCGAGCTGGCCTCAGGAGATTGGGCACCAAGCAGTACAAAGAAGCAAGGCTCCATGAAAAGAAGCACCCCAAGTTTAGGGCAGGTAGGGCTAAGCTGAGGAAAGCTCACAGGAGCAAGTTGGTAAAGGCTTTGGCTCTGAAGGTTCAGTCCCAGTCCAGAAGAGAAGCCTTAGCAGAGATCAAGCCTGAAGCTCAGCAGAAAAAGAAGAAGCCTCAGAAACCTTCCCTGCTCTTGAAGGCAGCACTGAAGATGAAAGCGAGTGCCAAGACTAAGCCAAGCCTGCACTCCAAGCCCTCAGCTGTTGCAAAGGAAGAGAAGAAGAAGGCTCTCAAGGCCAAAGCTGATAAGGAGCTGCCTGCACTTGAGAAGATTGCTGCTGAGGAGGCACCACCCCTGCCACCCCCAGCAGAAGGCCCTCCAGCCAGTGAGGAAGATAGCCTTCTTCACACTGATGCTGTGGTGACCTCAGAGGCAGCTGGCAAGATCAATTTTGGCAAGGTTGGCAACCTCATGTCCTTCTCTTCTTCCTCAGGAGCGTACACCTTGATGAGTGACACTGGTGCATACCAGGTGATGCCTGAGTGGTTGGAGAGCAAGGACAGCAAGCCTGCTGTCAAGCCAGTCCAGTGGCCCAAGTGGAGCCAGCTCAGCAAAAAGGACGCCAAGCTCATGTTGAGTCAGCTCAGCAGCAACCCTGAGGATCAGAGATCCCTGCAGGTTGATGAATGGTCCTTCCACACAGTCCTCCCATGCCCTAAGGATGTTGCTGAGGTTGAAGACCAGCACCTGTGGTTGGGCTGGGTTCTGCTGAGGTGGATGCTGAGCAAGAGCAACTTGCCAAGCTGTGAGGAGTTGGGGATCAACTGTGTTGATCCCATCCTCAGCAAGCTTTTGAATGATCAGGATGACCCCCATCAGCTAGCAGCCTTAGAGGCTGGCGTTCAGAGCTGCTGGCTTGAGTCCACCAAGGTTCTCTTAGTCCCCATCTATGCATCCTTCCACTGGACCCTGCTGGTGGCTAAGCGCGAAGGCCCTCAGCACCCCATAGCATGGACAAGGTATGACAGCCTCAGCGAAGAACATACTGAGTCCCACCCTGTCCAGCTGAGAATGGGGAAGCTGCTGGATCCTCAGTTTGAGCTGCCACCTCTCAAGAATGTGGCCAAGCAGCCCATTGGCTCCAATGCCTGTGGCTGCTATGTGCTCCACTACATGGAGAGTGAGCTCAGAACCTTGAGGGGTGAATGGCTTTCAGTTTGGCCTGAGGCAGGTTGGAAAGCATGGAAGGAAAGGCTCAACAAAGCTTGTGACAAGCTAGCCTCAGAGGCTGAGGCTTTGACTGAGGCAGTAAAGCAAGAGCAAGACAAGCTCTCCAAGCAGCGAGCTCAGGTGAAAGAGACCCTGGACAAGGCTCAGAGCAAGCTCAAGACCCTCAAGAGTGTCACCTCTGCAGCCTACTTGGCAGCTCAGGAGCTGGTGGATAAGAACTCAATCACCTTCACATGGAAGAATTTGTCTGAGTCTGCTACTAAGTCTGTCTTAGCCTTAGAAGCTGCACTGGGCAGGTGTGCTAAGTGCAGGTGGCAGTCTGGTTGCTTGGCCTGTGACCCCTACAAGTGCCTCAGACACCACCTGCACAAGGAAGCAGCTCAGGCCAAGAAGCAGGCTTTCCTCAGCCAAGGACTAGGGTTGTAATTAATTAGCTAGTGAACATCTTGTTGGTGGTCTGTTTGTATGTGTTTTGCTTTGCTGCTGGCTGCTTGCCTGGGAAGGGAGGGGGGAGAAGGAATTCAAATCCTCATTTATTGGGTTTCCACTATAAAAATTTAGGGCCCCAAAAAAATTAGCATTATAGAGGTACCATTTTTCAAACAGGGGGGTCTGAATAAATTTGGAAAAATTTAGCATTATAGAGGTACCATTTACTAATCAGGATCCAACATTAACCTTCCAAAAGTTCCAGGCAGCACGACATGCAAGTCGTAACAAAAGCGGAAGATTTGTGGCCAGATCTCGCAGGAAACTGGCGCAGGAGAAAAAACCGGGCACTGCTGAGAAGCTGGCACGAGCACTCCTAGAGCTGTTCCTACATCACTTGCCCACCGGTCCTATCCTCAGACCGGACAGAATAGGCCGATAGGCCCCCGCAACAAAATCCTTCCGATGATCGAAAGTGGAAAGGAAATCACGTCTGCTGGTTGATCTGATTGGCCCTGGTGGCCCACCCTCCCGGTTGATGGCGACCAGGCACATAAAGCACCGGAATGAAGGTTAGCCTTGGCTGTGCTTCTGTCCCTGCTGAAGCTGGAGGGCCCCAAACAGGAACCACGTGTGTGAGCAACATGCACACGATGCCATCTCCACTCCAAAAATCGGTTGAAAGGAAAAACAACAAAATAGGGTATTATAGTACATTGGGTCGTTCTTGTTTTTTTAATTGTATTAAAAATTTGTCTGATTCTTTCCCAGGTCCAAATTCTTGGCAAGGAACCAACCAAAAAACCGGACGGTCGTCTTTTCGACACACGTCTCGAACGAACGGCATCTTTTTCACACGAAAACAGTGGTCGAAACCAGGTCCCGAAGCACCGAACATGTGGAACAACCATGTCAACCTCGAGGTATCCTGAAGTGGTGCAATCTGACCCGGTGGTGTAAATCGAATATAAATCCGTATAGTAAAGCGGTGTTCGAATCCTACATTTTTACAATGCAACCCTTGATTGAACAATTGAAAACCAAAGGAACCTATTAAATACGTCGATGAAGCTCCAAGGTGCACGTAGATGACCTTGTAGGACATCACCTGAGATGACAATCTGGGTGTCCTGTTCACAGAATGTTTTGGGGTATTCTTTGGTCATTGAGTCTGCGTCGTGCCTTTGAGACAAATAACGCAATTGCAAGGCCCTCCAACATGTCCAACCCACCAACCAAAACAGATGGAATCCACTCCCAAGTTCCTGTTCACCCACCATCTCCACACCTTACACCATCCAAGTCACCACGTCGCGCGCCGCCAACTTCACACTGGAGGACTTCAACGACTTCCTCGGGTGACCGGGGCAATCGAGCTCGTCACACCTTGTGTGGGTTCTGAGAAATGCGGTGTCTCGTGGAACCCACAACGCTGAACACGGGATAGCCGACATGATGCGTTTTTGAGGTTTGGATCACTATGGAAATTAGGGGTGAGGGGTCAAACCCCACCAAGAAAAAATATAAACCCGGGGGTGCAGCAAGACTTTCCTGCAAAGTACATAGGTGCATACAAAACGAAAGGGCCAACAATCATTTTTTGCCACTGGCCCCCATCAATCTATAGAAATTGTGGGGTCAAGCAATGAGATTGCTGCGCCCTTCATTTTGTAAGAAAAGAAGGCTTTCCCATGTTGGTACATCAGACTTGATCAGTTTGGGAGGCCCAAATGCGGCTCATTGTGTAAGGAACCAGAACTCATTTTGTAAGGAGGCAGCTGCAGCTCGTAAGCCACGCCACTGGTTTTTGCGAGGATAAGCCTCAATGAGACTGTGCCCTTCTGTTGAAGCAGATCAAAGCCTTTTAAGGCATCCGACTCGGCAATGCACACATAATTTGTAAACCTTGGAGCCCTTCAAAAGATGTTGGCAATCACGTTCGACATGGTAGCAGCTGCCAGATTTCGTGATGTGGACAAGTTCTGGAAAAGTCCTCAGGCATATGCTCAAGCTTCATTGCCTCGATCATCTCTGTTTTGGCTTTTGAAGAGCTCGCTCGAAGCCACCAAGAAAGCACTGCCCCCGATGCAATGCCAAGCAGGTAGACCAGAACAAGCAGGAACTCCAATGTCATGACCACACAGAAGGCGCGGGCAGGTGCCACCACTAAAGTTATGCTTGAGCTCACTGAAACTAACTGCGCTGCTACAACATGACTGGGCTATCTCCGGTTTGCTAATTCAACCTACAATATGGGCTTGCACATTTCAATGTCAAGGTTGGAAATTGATTGGTTGCCTGATGAAACCATTCCATGTTATCGAGCCAATGCACTCGCGTCTCTGCTCAGTTTACAAGCAGTTTCCCCATCTAGAACTGTATTGGTGCCAGCTTTTTTGCGGCATTCCTGATTTCTACATGAAATTGGACCCAGTCAAGTTGCTTTTCTTCTGGCGTCAGGCGCGTAGTGTCTTCTTCCAGCGCTGGAAGTGCACTGTCAACCAAGCGCGCCAGAAACAAAACAAGCCCCCAGCAAAGAAAAGTCATAACGAGGAGAGACGAGCACCGAGTGATGAGGAGAGCGCAAGAAGTGTGCTGTGAATAAAATGGCGACCAAAAGCGGGCGACTGCTTACAAACGCATCGCGCACAACGCTTATTTCTTACAAAATTGCAATTTCTTACAAATGGGATGTTGCATCTGTGTTTGATTTTCCTTATAGATCGCATTGGTGCATCCACCACATATTATCTGCATCCAACAATGAGGCAGAAGGATAGGCACCATAGACTCTTACCAAATGAGTTTGCTCCTAAAACACGCTTCTTATAAAATGACATGGTCTGATCTTACTCCTCCAGCCTCACCTCAAATCCTTACAAAATGGATACTTCCAAGTTCTTACAAAATGGGCACCCCTATTTCCCATGAATTTCTCACAAAATGATAGGGATACGACCCCTTGATTTCTTGCAAAATGACCCTCTATAAATGGCTTTTATGGGGCTTGACCACTCCCATTTCATAGAGGAAATTTTAACGGTGATGGTTTTGGTTGGGTTCTTTCCTTTTTGGTGCTGGCATACCAGCAGCGTTGAGTGGAAAATGTTTGCAGGGAACTTCCAAACAAAGAAGTATTCTACTGGAATCCATTCGAACTAATTTTGTTAGACGCCCGAAACCTTCGCGCACACACCCGATCAAGAGTTGCTTGGGACACAACGGCGCCTGCGTTTGTTCCCGCCCACTGCCAAGCCACCTGCCACCAAGTGGTGCGTGCAGCCCTTGACTAGGGATATGCCATGATATGCCATGATGGATTTTTGCGACAACCTCCGATTTTTGCAAGCCCTGACTATTGATCTTGTTGGTCCCGGTCATTTCTTCTAAAATCTTCCAATTGTTCCCAACACCTCTGGAGTCTTGCGAGAGTCATCGAGAGTCGCCTGCCCCTGCCCTGGTTGACAGGATGCTGACCACCGTGCCCGTGTCAGAAGCATTCAATATTTCATTCAGAAATGTTACGTCCAAATCGGGGAGCTTCCATTCATGCACGAAGACTTGCACCAAGCGGGTTTGGTATGGTCCGTTCAGTCAATCCACTGCTTAGGTCTGGTCAGGCCTACTCTCACTGAGGGCTTTGCGAATTAAACGTAAAATGCACCACTATATCTTACTATGCTGCTGCATAGCATTGTGTCAAAGGAGCAGGCTAGAACAAGCTCACACAATAAATATGCAAGGATGCAAGGAACAAGCACAACCAACACTAAATAGGTACTTTACCCCACCATGACACTTCAATCAGTTGATTTCATGGCATTGTGAGGAGCAGCATGTTGCCATGGTCGTGAGTTTTGCGGTGGTCAATTTTGTTTGTGAAGTTGGGGGTTTCTATTTTCGTGCTAGGGAGTTTGCATCGGGGTGTCGCCAGGGCCTCCAGTTGGCATCCAAAAGTGCTATCCTGCAACCACCTGCCACGCAAAATGCCACAGACACACACACACACACACACGGGTATTTATATTGCTGTCGTTGTGTGTTTGTGGTTGTGTTTGAGTGCTGTGCTTGTGTGTTTGTGGTTGTGTCGGTGGGTTCTATGTGTTGTGGTTGTGGTTGTGTGTTTGTGAATGTGGCTCGAGCTGTGTTTGTGGCTGTGTGAGTGTGATTGTGTGCTTTGTGCTTGCGGTTGTGTGTTTGTGGCTGTGCTTGCGGTTGCGTGTTTGTGGTAGTGTGCTTGTGACTGTGTTCGGGGCTTGTCTGTTTGTGCTTGTGCTTTGTGGCTGTGCTTTGTTGGTTATGTATTGTGTCTTGTGTGTTTGTGGTTATGTTATGTGGCTTGCGTGTTGTGTTGAGGCCCGTTAGTGCCCACTGGGATCTGGCGCTTGCGGTTGAGGTCCGGCTGTGCCCACTGCAATCTGGCGCTTGCAGTTGGGGTCCGGCAGCGCCCACTGCGATCGGGAGCTGGCTGGCGGTTGAGGCCCGGCAGCGCCCACTGCGATCCGGAGCTGGTGTTTGAGGTATGGCTGGGTTCACTGCCAAGCGGAACTCGCGGTTGAGGTCCGGCGGGGAGCACTGCTATCCTGGCGGTTGAGGTCCGGCGGGGAACGCTGCCATCCTGCGCTTCCGGTTGAGGTCCGGCGGGGAACACAGGAGGAAGGCAGCTGACATAAAATCTGACAAGTGGGGTGTCATTTCTTTTAGCCAAAGGACGACGTGCAGGCGCTCCGTCGCAAACCAACACGATTGTGTCACCACTGGCAGGCTTCTTAGAAGACCCTTGGAAACGCAGTGCTTCGATTGCGATGGCGGCGTGCAGCAAAAGGGAACACCTATATCACGATCTATACTAAGGGTAGGACCTAGTCACAAGAATAATCAGTCAAAAGTTCACCATTCATTCAAGTCCCTGGCAGGGAACCACCAACGAACATGTGGTACCGACTGAACTGCGCTTAGAAATGCGAAGAACACGTGTGCAGGTGCGGGCGTGTCCCGTTTGCCACACGCGCGCACGCTACCCACCCCAGCGAACTCAGCAAATCCCAGTGGAGCTGTGACGAAAAGGGCGGAAGCTGACAATGATTTCGTAGCAGCCAATACGGCGCAGACATGTAAAACGTACATCATGACATCTTATCGACGATCAGATGTATGTCCCAGTATGCCAGCGAACCTGAGTGATGTTGAAAGTGCGCATGACTGAAATGCACAAACCTGCTGGCCTGGGAGGCCTCTGCTCGGAGAGCCTCCATTTCACGCTGGCCGCCACCTAGGCCAAGTCTTGCACAAACGCCAAGAACCCAATGTCAAGCCACCATGCGCCATCAGCCAGTGGCAAAGCCTCGGGCAAGTCAACACACCTATATGTAGGCTCGAATTAGCATAAACATGAATAAACATTCGCTCAGGCCATCACCATGTGTCAGCTTCTGTGATCTGAACCATGCTTCTCGAGCTTTGAGCCAAAAGTCAGCTGATACATTCAGAAAGTCAGCTTTTGAACATTGCTTTCTACTCTGTCTCCGCAAGCTCGACCAAGAAAACATAAATCTGGCGAGCAAGTTCTTTTGCCCAAGCTCTGGATCTCTTAGTGGGAGATCACCCAACCTAAGAATTAAATCCAATTAATCAACAATTTATTGCTAATTGGCATGAAGTAAAAGAGCAAACTATATTCTATAGTTCTTTAGATTTCTTTAGTGTGTCTCTCTCTCTCTCTGCTATCCTGTCAACCACAATCGCTGGCCCGCTTGCTACACTTGTCTGTGCACATGTGCTTATTGTTGCTGACAAATGCCGCAAGCATGCCCAACAATTTCACAGAAAGAACCAAGAGAGGTTGAGAGACCATATAGGACCCTGTAGTGGTACATATGGGATGGGCTATAAGGCTGTTCAACCTCTCTTGGAATCTGAACACGCCATGTTCCACTTGGACCTTAAGGCGTGAACGACGGAGTGAACCTGCCCGAACCGCACGAACCGCCACGCCGGACCCAACGAACCAAGCATCTTCTGCTCCGCCACGGCGAAGCGGCTGGCGACAATCATGATGGGAAAGTTAAACCTGATCTGCTGAAAAACTGGAACCCTAGGGCTCCAAGTGCCTCCTCAGAAGGTATTTGGACCCTCCAAACCCACACCCTCAGAAGGTTTAACTGGAAAAGACCTTTCCAGTTCTGTCTCAACTGGAAATTCCTTGTTAAACCTTGGTCCTGCTTCTCGCAACAGAAAACAAACACTCGCAGTGTCTAACTGGAAAGAACACCTACCCCGAAGCTAATTGCAAACACCAACTCTCTCTGTTTCTTCTCTTCCTCTAGGCGAACCTCCAGCTCTTCTCTCACCCGCCAAGTAGTGCGAAAGCACGAACACCAAGGCACATGAGGTTGGGGATCACTCCTAAGGCCAACGTCACCTCGGTCATTGGCTTCGTGCGCGTCTCTTCCATCTTTTTCCTAGGTGGTTGTAACGAAAACGAAAAAAGTGAGTCAGTGATTCAATCATCCCAAGTAAAGTTTGAACATATCTGAAACGATGGTTAGAAAGCATCCAGAAACGGTGACCATCCGTCGTCTGAGAGTGGTTGAGAGTGGTAGTGGCTGACCGTCAAATGGATCGCATCACTACTGTGTCAAGTCTGTGTAGAACAATATGAAGTCCCTACAAGTCCAGTCTGACCCAGTAAAACCTGGTCTTTGACCTCCCCAAGTGCTTTTTGTATGAAAAGGTCTAGTACAATGAGATCAAGCAGACCTGTAGGGAGTAGAATCCGAAGAAACGGATTCGTGGGCGACAGACAGGCCCAAGGTGAGCAAACAAAGATGATTGGAAACACATGGCGCACGAAACGACGAACACCTCACATGGAAGTGGAGATCACCTCCTGTTTGTAAAGGAAAGTAGTCTTCCAAGGAGTCATGCCATCCACTTCCACGGAATGTGAGTCAGAGCGTAATAGGAAAAGCTGAACACGATCGAAACATCGAAACCTCTTTGCTCGAGATGATTTCGTTGGCCTGCCCCTTTGCATTCGCAGATTGGAGCAAGCCATGGCATTTGATGGTTGCACAGATTCACAGCGTGCAAAATTCAATCCACACATCCTGAGGAAGGCACCAGAAGATACATGAAGCGGCCCATCAAGTCTCCCATGGTCCACCACACAAGTTGTGGCACCTAGAGGTGGAGCTTTGTCTGGAACACGCGACATGGGAGGGAACCCACAGCCATTGATTCAATTGGGTCGTCCCGCACAACAATGGTCTTACTAAGGGTTTTGGACTGCAAAACCAGGTCAATTCTTTGAATGGTCTCTGACTGGCCCCCCCCCAGTTTGCCTGGGCAATCATCCCCCAGCTAACCTTGTGCCAATCTACCAAAAGGGTCGGGGATGTTCCAGGAATACATCGGATGCGCCGACCATCCTAGACCACACTGGGAGAGGAGCGAGATGTTGTGAGACGGCTTTGGAGGGCGGAAAGGTTCACACTGGTTCACCTTCACGGATATCCTCGAAGCCGGCTGGCATCAACATGCCAGCCGAAGCAATCTGAGTGAGATGCGACTGAGAACTCAGGCATGGAGCTTGATCGGCGAAAACAATTTGAACGTTTCTCGGGGAACCCTTGCTCCACTGAGAGGGCGATATATGTATATGATATATATATAACTTAATTAATATATCCCTACAAGTCAATGACCTCATTTGACTGAAGTTGGTCATACCAAAACACTACTCAAGGAGGTAAAGGACCAGGTTTTACTGGGTCTTTGGACTTCTAGGGTATTATGATAATAAGTGATAATATACATATGCTCCACTGAGAGGGCGGTATATATAGAATATATCATTGTGTCCTTCATTCCTTCGAGGTTTGCTATTGGTTCTTTCCAATAGAAATAGTCCCAGCAAGAACCCCCTTGACGCTCACCCGCCCTCCCCAAATGCCAGCCTGATGATCTCGAATGCCTAATCTCTTGAGTGTCTGCATGTACCTGAGTGTCACTTGGAGGCTCATGGGTCTAATATGGGTCTTCCCACCAAACACTGAACTGGACAAAAAGGCAGGTGGACTTTCATCTGCCATCAGAGATTCAGAAAGGCCTTGACAAGTCCGCCCTGCAACTCGAGGAGCTGTGTCTTCGGCCAGAGTTTCGGGTGTACGAACCTGCAACAGTCCAAGCTGCCTGGTGGTTTTCGGAGGTTCGATGGCACTGGCACCCTATACATGTTGTTTCAGATGGGGATCCACTACTAAAGCACCCAACTTGGGGGCCCTTGTGCCATCATGTGCCATCTGTTTGGCTCTATCCAGGGCCCAGTGGATGATGATGTTTCGGTTGCAGGCCCTCCTGTAAAATCGTCATGTTCTTGTGAAACCCGACGGCTCTGCAGGTTTACTGGGACACACGCAACCTCCATCCACGAGTGGTGGATCAATCGCTCTGCCACGCGACACTTCCAGCTCTGCGCGCAGCTCCTGTCGCGCAGCGCGACTCGATCCACGCGACGCGTCACGCGGTGGATCTTCGAGAAAAAAGGAGGTCGGAGGTGGAATGAAGTGCTACTTCGCTGGTGATACTTTGCAGGAGTGCAAATGGCCATGTAAATGCTGAAGTTCCCATCCCAAACCATCTATATGTACATAAAATCAATGATATTTACCTACATTCACCCCTGAAACTACCAATGATCTTGTACTTCTCAAAGACTTTGCTCTCACAGAACTTGCAGCTCGTTCTTCCTTTTTTTCCAGCTCTGTCATGAGTGAAGCTTTGCCGTGACCCCACGACCCCAGGTTTCAGCATGTCGACACAAAGAGAGAGATAGAGAGAGAGAGAGATCTCATTGCTGACTCCCAAGGTTTCAGCAGGCGCTACAATTGCAATCAAACATCGGTGCCGGAACACCACTCAGAACACCCTTTGACCTGACGCCTCACGCCTCAAACCTCGCGCCGAAAACGGCCTTCCCGGTAGCCGGTCGTATGGTTCCCACGGTTCGGTGCCTCGAACTCTTGGAGCTCAGCTTCTTTGAGGGGCTCCTGGTTTTCACTGTCCTGATCCTGCTCCAACCTCAACTGAGGTTAGGCATGGTTTTTCATGCGCGACGGAGATGTTGTTTCGTGCGGAAGAACACCAAGACCCCCGAAGATGTTTTTCAAGCCAGCAGTTCCAAAGGAATGAGTCGGAATGAGTTTTTGTCTTTAAGTGAGTGGATGTTCTGGGCACCCTTGTCTTAATAGGCACCCTGAAATGGAACTGCTGGAGGATGTTAAAGGCAGGTTATCAACTTTTCCTGGGTATAGGAGGCTGGGACGGGCACAGCCACTGGGACGGACATGATGCTTGTACAAGCTAACCCCCACGCCACGCGACCGGGACGTTCGTCATGGGGATCGATCTGTCGACCACCAGCGGCGCGTACCGGGTAGAGAATTGGAGGATCGAGTCATTGAGGCGACTTTTGGAGGACTCTGAAGAACTTCTGACTTCCCCTCTGGCCTTTTCTGCAAGAAAACCCTCGACTTGGAACCTGAAAAGATGGTGCCTCTCCTTGCGGAGGCAATGTGACAGCCTCACGGAAATGAGCTTAGCATGTCTGCCCTCACTCCAATCCACCCGATCACCCGAAAGAACGCGTCCAGGACTCAGAAAAAAGCAGCACACAAATAGAACGCATGTGTTGTTTTTGTCACATGCTTGTCTCTATATATATTATAATATATATATTATGACTGTTAACAGTTCTTACACATCGCCTGGATACTTTATGGGGTACCTTGCACTTGAGTAAGTTGTTCTTGTTGTTGTTCTTGTTCTTGTCGTCGTTGTCGTTGTTTTTCACCACCATCGCCTTCCCCCCCCCACCTGCCCCCAAGCGTCCCCTCCCACCACATCCATCGCCCGCTGTCCGGTGCCGCCGTCGCCCGGTGTCTCACGAGAGCTCCGAGGGGCTCGTTCCGAGCAGTACACATGGTTCCTAGTAGTACGGCCAGGAGCCCCTAGTAATTAGTGATGCCAGGAGCCCCTAGCAAGCTTCTTGCTACTAGTAGCGTCCTTGCTCCGTACGGCCAGGAGCGCCGTTCGTAGCGTCCTTGCGCCGCTCCGAGGGGCTCGTTGCTGGTGAGCACCGAGGCCGCGCCCTTGGCGCGCTCCGCCAGGCGCAGGATCCGGTGCACGCCCACGGCGAAGCGTCGGTTCAGGTCCATCGCCTGGGCGAAGCGGCGCTTGGCGAAGCGGTGGTCCGGTGGCCAAACGGCTAACCGACAGGGTGGTGGGGCCCAGGCTCCGCCCCTGGCTTTTGCGGTGTTTTGGGGGGGGGTTGGGGAGATCTTGGATGTGTTTGGTGGATGTGTGGGGGGGGTTCTAACTTAGTTGTATGCTCTTGATTCATGAAACTTCCCAAACACATGATTCAAACATGGATTCGAAAACCGCTTCAGGCCTCAGAAAACGGTTGGGTCTCTTCCTCCTATACCTTCCTACGCTCCGCGTCTTCGGCCGTCGCGCACGGCCCTCCGCAGCCTTGGATGGGCTCAACTTGGAGCCCTCCTTCACCCAAAGGCGGCGCACCTGAGATCCCAAACAGTTCCATGATGCTCCATGGCCCTACACCTCCAGTCGTACCTCCTCAGGTTCCGGACTGGACCTGACTGGCAGGTCCCCACCCCAGTCCCACCTTCTCAGAAGGTACGACAGGAGGCTTAGGGTGGGGACTAGAATCTAGATGTGCCAAACACATCGATGCAGGTGTTTTGATGCCAGTCCCATGAAGTGCTTTTCTTGTTGATCGATGCATACTTATCGGTCCATTGAATATATCTTTTTTTTGTATAGTTACCTTCATTGGGTGGTTTTTAGTGGTCAATATAGGCATTCCAGTCCCAGTGGAGCATGTGGAAGTGCTTTTCACAGCACCGATGAAATCGATCGAGGGATGTTTCTTCGGGACGTGGAACGAGTCAAAGAGGAGGGTACTTGACGAGCAAGGAAGGAGTCTGAACAAAGATTCGGTACCAGGGCCCCCTGTTTGCGGGGGTGACCGTCACCACCCCAGAGAACCTCTTAAGGAGCTACTTTTAGACCCCTCACCCCTGGCCTGGGGTCCCAGGTACATGATGTCATTGTGAAGAATTCATACACTCTGACTCACTAGAAGTGGAAAATGGCCTCTTGGAAGACTATTGTCCTCTACAAGCAGTGGGAAAATCCACTTCGTGATGTGTTCGTCGGAGTGTAGTTCATCGTACATAAACACCCCTCACCCCTGCCCTGGGGGCCCAGGTATCTTCAAGAGTTCGTTGTCACATGTTGTCACTCGCCTGACGGTCGAGATCTCGGGCCGCATGCCGACGAAGCCGTTTGGCCCGACGAAGGACGTGCGACCGGCCAAGAGCTCACCAACAGGGCGACCTCCTTTTCTCGCCACACGAGTTAGCCGCTTTCCATTGGAGAAACGGTGACCGACTGCAATGAATTTGCTGGGCATCCGAGTTTTCCAACTGGAGCCAAAGTGTGAAACGGATAGTGGCAGCAGCTCTTGCGCGCCAAGATGTCCAAAAGCACATTCAATTCAACATGCAATCGAACAAATCCATGGTCTTTCAGGAACTGTTCAGAGTTTCCCCCCACGGCGCCGAAGACGAGACCGGCAACCCCTGGCGCCACCCCCGACCAACGATCGTTGTCTCCATCGATGTTCGGGGAGATCCAAAAGCACCCTCAGCCGCTGGCGCGCTGCGGCTGACCTGGCATCCGAGGCCGAGCTTTGCCAGGACCCCAGGTCCCGGAGGTCTCTAGATGTGACATGCCAGGTCTCAGGAAGGTCTGTGCACCCCTACCACCTCATGAGGTGTGGATCGGCATCCCACGGATGTTTACCCGTTAGGGCCTGATTCAGGGCATCCGTTTTGAGAAGAATCCTCCAACGAGTTGTGGATCCATTGGAAGCTGGGCTGACTTAGAGTGGTGCATGACATGCTGATTGACTTGACTTGGCGCAGGACATGATCTATTTAACATATCCGCAGCTGTGGCATACATTGGATGGATCGGTCCATCGGGCTATTCAGTGCCTTGAATCTGGTGAACAAAACGTTGATGTCTTACCTAGTGGACCCATTCAATAGTATATAACCAACGGTTCCAAAATTAAAACCGTAGACCGAACAACCCTGGTTTCTGGAGTGAGTTACATCCAGCCTTGGTGCAGTTCGTTGGGTGGTGGTGGCTTAGGCCCAGGCTATTAATGATATTGACCGACTCCATCAATACCGTACCTGTCTACTTCCGTTTCAATCAAGTCTCTCCTGACTTTCTTGCACATCTGATACACCAAAAGCCTAGTCACACGGCTGCCCCTTTTTCTTCGTCCCCATTGCCAATTTCGTGCGTCGCCACTGCGGACTCAATCCTCCTTGACACCATGCGAGCTGACCTGGCCACCGGACACTCCAAGTGTGCTCAAACCAGCACAGGTTGAGCGTATCGGCTGATAGCCATGTGGCTCATGTAGATCCCCATGCCCCGGTCCCACGGATCAAGCAATGCTCTGAAAAGGAGACAATATTTTTGCACCACCCACACCAATGAAAAGAAGCGGCCTTGCAGGGCAAGCCAAAGAGAAAATAGACATAACACTTGCGGTTTTAGATTGAGTCCAGGGTGGATAACAAAGATCTAATTGTGTCAAATGCGTCTGCAGCCAAGCATGCGTTGGGCATGAAACCGCGATTGACATCGGGCATGTGTTTCACCAAGTCAAGGGTCAAAGCAGCATGCGAGTTAGGACACCATAAAATAACACTTGTCTTCTGAACAAATCAAGTCTTGCATTGTAGAAGCCCCTGGAATCTCCTGAAGCCCACCCCCCAAAAAAGAAAACATCTCTGCTCGAAACCCAGGAGAGAGTCCCCAAATATCCGCGTCAACTTCTCAGTGCAAGGGGCATAAATACCGTCCAAGAACTTTCGGATATCCTTCTTCTTGCAAAGGCAGGACCTCACTGGCTTGGGTGCCCAACTCCAAGATTCCTGTCCACAACTAGACTGGACAATCCAACTCCACCAAAATCCAACTTCAAGACAAAGCATCACGATCTATACCTGGATCCTCCTTTGGGCGGAAAAAAGTGCCGGACCTCAATCCGGCAAAATTTTCCGCCGGATTCCGAAAAAAAAACCGGAGACCTGAAAAAACATCCGGATCCAAGATTCTGAAAAACAGAGATGATAAGAGGTTGGATCATACACAAGGGAATTAATTGCCTTTGCGCCGCGAGTAGTTTTTCTGGAGCACACTCGAACCTTCCCGTTCCCATTGCCCTCGCCCATCTTCCGAATGGCCTAAGAGCAGAACCATCACAAAATATAAGCAATTTGTGCCCAAGCAAAGACTTCCAAGAAGAAACCAGTGAACATGTGGCAATGAACTCATCTTTCTCTGCAACCGTGTCTCTAAAGTATTTTTTACAAAGTGGGTTGCTCTCCATGATTTTTATGTTTCTTAATGAATCCTTTCTTTAAAGCTTGCCTCAGGACGGCCCCCCAATAAAGTAGCAGAAGTCATGGTTCCTGTCAAAACTCTTCTCTGAAAAACTTTTCAAAGTCAAAGCCTGCCGAAGACTCAGTCCAAAAAAATACGTCGGAGTTACGCCGGAGTTACGGGAAATTACGCCGGAATTACGGCAAATTACGCCGGAGTTACGACGTGCTATTTTTGACAACTCTTTGCAAAACATTGAGATTCTGAACAACACATGTTCCACAGCCCAAAACTTGTCCGGCAGGCTCTGCAAACCTCCGCAACTAGAACTATATCCCAGCGCCCCGACATCCTGAAACAATGGGAGTACATTTTTGCCTATGCTCTTTCAGCTTAGGTACGCCCACTTGGGTCTTTCAGCAGGTGCATCGCACTGTACCGGCTTCATCCGATTTCATTTAGAAGATCACCTAAACGGATCTGATTGATCCAGTGTGAACCATGCTGAAACCGATGGAATGAGAAAACAGCGGAACAGGCAAACGAGCACACTTTGCAAACAATATCATTGCATCAGTAGTGGGTTTACCTTCAAAGAAATGCAGACCACAAAGAATGCAAAGCCTTGAGAACCCACATAAAGTGATTTGGAAAAAGCGCCGGACCAAATCCAGAAAAACGCCGGAGTTGGAAGTCCGGCGCCGGACCCTGTAAAAGTGCCGGACTGAAGATCTAGGTATAGGACCCTCCAACAGGCTGCTTGGAGACCCTAACAGGTGGTTTCTGGGCACCTGTTGTCACCAGGAAGCACATGTTGGAGGGGTGCTGGTATTGACTTCTGACCCGACTATGGAAAATAATAATTAATACGGTGAACCGAACTGTCCACCTGCTGGACTTAGTAGGGAAGCCAATCCCCAAAAAGGCTTTGCAGGTTATCCACTGACTGGGTAGGTATAGTTCAAGATCAACATCCTCTACATCGTCTCCGTTCCATGATGTCAAAATAGATTAGCGTTCAGCATCGTCATTCAGCATCTTCTTCACATCGTTGAGTGGAATTCGGAATGTGGGAATATCCGAAACATATTATGGATACATATGGCATATGTACCTTTTTTGGTGTGTTTAGGCCACATATGGCCAGAGTCAGGCCAGCGTCCCCATCTGTATGATGAACCAATCCCCTTAGAGCCAGAAACAGGAGACCTTTCGAAGTCTCAACACCAAGCAGGCCGAATGCCGGACGCCAAGGCTGTGTTCACCCAAGAAAGCGCGCAGCGCGGCGCCCACACGGTTACAGTATGTTGGAGCTGACAAGGGAGAATCTAAATACATGACACATGCCCACGACTGGGGCCTGAAAAGGGGTGGTGAATGGACACCCCTTATGTAACGGCTAAGGGGCTATGACAGGAGGGTCCTGGTACCTGCATTGGTTTGCCTATGATTTCGCGATAAGATGCTGTAAACTACAGGTTCGATTTGCTGGACGTTGCTGCTCCATGAGGCAGGACCTCACGGGTCTTAAGAGGTTGCCCAAAAAGCCCATGGAGTTCAGGGAAATCCAATCTCCCGAAACCGAAGCCAAGAAGAAATGGCTCACCCCGCCACCCTATGCCACCTGTCCTGTGCTGAAGCCAAGGGGGACAAAAAGGTGGGTCAAATCGTCCAGTTCCGGGTGACCAACCTAAGGGGGAAACATCCAAACAAAGCACCCTAGTCAAGCTAAAACCAAGTAAAACAGGTATACCTCCAACCATGTAAATCACGCTCAAACAAACCATGTATAAAAGTGCGGTAAGACCATGTATATCATGTAATACCCTCATGTTCGTCAATCGATGTCTTCTGTCCATCGAGGAACTGATGAATCAACGCCGCAGAACGGCCCGCCAGTTCGATGTCCGTGCTGGTCACCTGGATCTCATCCTGTGGCGCGACTGAACCCGCGCAGCATAGACGGGTTCGATGCATGCATGTACGAGATACACCCGGGAAAATCAACATGGAACCTGAAAATTTGGAAGACTGTTTTCCTCTACAAACCAGTGGTTTTCAGGTTCCATGTGGACCTCTTCCAGAGTGTA